AACCGTAAGCCATGACACCGATTCCCTCGCTTCGACCTTGTCATTCAAACTGTTCTGTGTTATGTGTCTATTTCTATTCAAGTTTTTTATTCGTAGGTTGATTGTGTCAAATATAAATGATAATGGGTAGTCATTGTCTAATAAAATGTTAATGATAAGTGTCAAATTCTGTGTGTGAAATCGAACGTCTGAGAGTAAAATTGTTCTGTCAACCAGCGAAAAAACCGTCCCTCTTTTCTGTGCAATGAGGTGGTTAGAATAGAAATTTAAAAACCTCCCTGAAAAGGTCGGTTTACGGTACCAATCAACTCCAAACCCGTTTCCAATGATAGATATAGTAACATCCAGGAAACTGATTTCATCACCCCCAAATTCTGAAGTGAATCGTGGATGGAAAGAGTTAAATTGTTTTACTATTGAGTCAATTTTTGATTGCTCAACCGCAGTGCAAATATCATCCACATATCTAAAATAAAATGTCACATCCAAGTTCAACGACATCAAGGACACCGTCTCAAGTCTCCTCATCACCAAGTCCGCTATTATAGGTGATAAGGGGGACCCCATGGGAGTGCCGTACCTCTGTTTATAAAAATTGTTGTTAAACGAAAAAAATGTGGAATCAAGAATAAACCTTATTGCCCCCACAAACTCCTCTCTAGGGAGAGGGCAGTCTCCGGAAACATACATCCAATGTTCATTAATACAGTCTATGGCTATATCCACCGGAACATTCGTGAACAGAGATTTTTACGTCCAGTGAGATTAATTTGTATTGGTCTGTAGTGTGTAATCTTTTTAGTTTCTCAACTAGTTCGAAACTATTTTTTATATAACTCTTTGCTTTAGGAATGGATTTAACTAATATGTTGTGTAAGAATATCGCCAGTGGATAAAGCGGACTGTCCAACGAAGAGACAATGACCCTCAAAGGGCAACAAGGTTTATGTATTTTCGGCACACCATAAGCTCTCGGAAGTGATCCGTCACTACAATATAACGTCTTGTATTTTGCTTCGTTAATATACTTCTTCGTCTTCCATCTGGTGAGCATGGACCTTAATGCTGTCGTGATTTTCCTGGTGGGATCTTTATTGATATGAGAGTATGTGTCCTTGTCATTCAGCAGAGTGATCATCTTATCCATGTAGACCTCTCTGTCTAAAGCGACTGTGACATTGCCTTTATCTGCGTGTGTGAAAAGGACATTGGTATGTTCTGATAAAAAGGCGCGTGTCTTCGATTCCATTCTTAACAATAGTTTATCAATCGGAGATGTTGTGATTGGAGAGGAAATGATACTGTTAAGAATTGGAATGGAGTGGTTAGTGATCGCGATCCTATAGTATTTTCGATCGGCATGCGATGCACGCCGGTCTCAACACTCTTAATGCAATCGAAAATAATCTTATGTTTATCGTTTAGTGGAAGAGCGAAATTCTCACCTAGTTGTAGGAAACATTATGTCTATTGGAATGGACACAGAGGATAGGTTGAGGAACCACCCGTTTCGGACAGTGGTCAGGGACGAAGATCTGTGTGAGGTGAAGGAACTGGGATGTATAGATATCAAGTTACTAGGAGATAACGTAAGCGAAGGCTTGTTGACATTCAATGTGTCCTTGTGCACGGATGTTGGGCCAGCACGCATGCCTGTATCGTATTTATATAAAATAGGTTTGATTCTGGTTATAGTCTGTGCTTCCTTTTTATCAGAAAGCCATAAAAGTTTGTGATCTAATCTCTCTCTTTCTTTTCGGAAAAGCACATTACAGGATTTTTCCTGTTTATACAGAAACTTATCGAGAATCTTTGTAGGAAGACTCACCCGAACTGTGAATATTCTGAATATGCGAACATTTGCGACAATTGATTTTATTCTGTTATTATTTTTTTCGTTATACTAATGTCTGAAGAGGACTCAAACCGGTAGCCGAAACTTGTAATTTATTAGTTTATAGTCTAATTTTTGCGTGATGTTTCATAGCTGTTAATATAATATATAATTTTATGAAAATTTAAAAAATGTGGTTGACTTCTGTTTCGGGTCGGGTGACGATTATCAATAAGATCGTAAACCCGTGAGCATGAAACGAGATAAATGCGGGTTCAGGATCGGGACGCCAACACGAGGTGCAACAATGGCCGATTAATAAATTGGGTGCTACACAGTTTAATAGTTCACAATCGTTCACAATAAGTTCGATACAGGCTCGATCGTTACGCCGCCGGTTCGCGACGGGATGGTGGGTGTGCGCGTCACAAAACGTAACAAGTCGAGAGTTATTCGCAAATTCGACGGAGGTTGCGGGCAGAATATTAGCGCTTTGGTGTCTAGGGTACCACTGCCCCACGCCCCGGCGGAAGTCCGCGTATCGCAATTCTGGCGGATATCGATACGCGCGCCGCGTTTCAGTTTCAAGCTTTCTAGCGAAGTTAAATTACACACCGGTACTGGAGTTACCGATGTAGCATCACTGATATTAGTTCGCATGGTAATACATATGCGAACACTTCTTATATTTGTTGTATTAAACAATACTCGCTCCTTGGTACCGCCATTACCACAATGGTCAGGAGTGCGTTCCTCCTTCGCTTACGCTCATCACGCCATCTCACACAGCGCCGCTAGAAAAGTAAAGAAAATGCTATAGCAGCTTCTTACATCTATTGTTAACGACTACACTACATCGTCAAACTCACTTTTCGAGGCAACAAAGAAGATATTGAACGCTGTGTGAGAACACAGATAAAAAAATTTGTCATTTTTGGAAACATACTTTAATATATTGTTTTTAAAAATAATTGAATTAAAATTGTTAATATAATTATAATAAATGAAGGATTATGATTTTAATAATATATTTTTTCATGTAATATAATTCATTTATCAATATATTATAATATCTCCTTTATCAATAAATAAAATCTTTGTATCTCAAATTCTCGACTATTTCACATTTCAAATATTCCAACATTTCAGGTTTAAAAAACGTAGATTTTTATTATTTTTTATTTAAATAAAAATATCTCCGGCACAGAGTACAGATAAAATTTATTCTCCAAAAACGAGTAAATCACCACGCCGATTACGATAACAGCACGAATTTGTTCATTCCTGTTTTACTTGCCCTTTCTTCCTAGTGAAAGCAATAGTCTCTAGAAAATTCTCACAAAAGTCCTCATAATAAATAATAAGAAAAAAACCCTTTCACTAAAACGTCAGTACGCCGGAGACATTGACCTGCTAAGGCAGAAAATGACCTACAGAACAAAATTGTGTGCTATTCCACTGACCTTTTCTCCTCCCCCCGTAACGAACAAATTTCTCAGTCCCAATTTTCCTCGATTTTCCCATTTATCATTCTGTCACGGCATTTATCTCTGTCGCCTCACCCTTCTCCAGTCACCGCGTGAGTGACTACGGATAGAGTCAATCAGTGTGTGGACAGCCGTAGACTAAGCCCTCGCCGCCGGAGGTGGAGTAGTGAGGGTTTGTTTTGACGGCTCACGATTGTCCATATACTACTTATATTACAGCCTTTTTATAAAATTTAATTCATTTTTCAACATAGTCTTTTTTTAAACAGTTACAGACACTTATCAAACTACCCATGTATGTAATACAATATATAATTAATTGACTTTTTACAATTCATTCAAATTCACACTTCAGAAATGTTATTATAACAATTAATAAAAATAGCATTTGAAACTAGTTTTGTTCCATCAAATATTAATTTTACAACACCAAGGAAAGATATAGATGTTTTGATAAAAGTTGTGTTTCTGTAGTCCTAAATGGAGGAAAGGGGGAGTGGGATGAAAGTCGCTTTGCGTGGAAGTCGCGCGCCCCTAAACAGAAGAAGAAGGATGATTGTTTATATTCTTTAAGAAATTAGTACGACATATACAAATTAAATTTTCGTAATATATCTCTTATGCCAATATTATTCTCTGCATATTATAGAACTTCAATTTATTGTATCTCTTAAATCAATGCTGTCCCGCATTTAATTCTTGTAGAGAATCACTCAGGACACTCTCCCCTACACATAGATATCTAAAAGACATCGAAATCAGTGAGATGTCACCTAAAATAAATATTTACCAAAGAAATGATTGAATCTACTGAATCTATTATTTATGTAAGGAAATGGCAATAACAAATGTTTTGTAACTAGTCAAGCTGTCAAAGCGTTTTTGGATGCCAAAAATTTGCAACGGCAAATATGATTTCGTACTGCTTGGATCTGAAAGGACCATCTTATACCATCGATACAGCATGCAGTTCTAGCCTTCATGCTATGGCTGTTGGATATGATTATATCAAATCAGGAAAATGCGAAGACGCAATAATTGGAACAGCACAATTATGTCTTTTTTCCACAATAAACCTGCTCTGCGCTCGACTTGGTATTATAAATATTTATATTTTGTATTTTTATTAAAATTTGATAGCCGTATAATACAATAGGCATGACATTTATAGAATCACGTCCTCATTTATATAAAATAAATTCAAAAAAATCATTTACAAAAACTATAATATATAATTTCAATAAAAACATTTTTAACACCACATTTAAAAACTGAAAAATACCATATTAAAAAATACCATGAAAATGATCATTTTAATTTAAACATAATCCATTATACACATATGCCTACTATACTTCATAGGTGTTTTGTCACCCAATGGTTATTGCAGTCCATTAGATATCGCTGCTAACGGTTTTGCACGAAGCGAAACGATTGCAGCAGTATACCTTCAAAAAGCGAAAAATGCTAAGAGGATTTATGCCATATGTCCGCATATTAAACTAAATAACGATGGTTACAAAGAAGAAGGAATAACACATCCTTCATCACAAATGCTATGTACCTTACTAAAGGAATTTTACGAAGAATGCAAAATACCAACATCTTGTTTGGATTATATCGAAGCACATGCTACCGGCACCAAAGCTGGTGATCCACAGGAAGTTAAAGCTATCTATAACAGTTTGTGTAAAAATAGAGAAACTCCATTAATGATCGGTTCCGTGAAATCTAATCTCGGGCATTCTGAAGCTGCAAGTGGTTTTAATCAGATCGCTAAGGTAAAATAAATAATTTCCAGTTTTATCTATTATTATAAAGTTTACTTTTATTTGATATAATTTGATTATTTGATAAATTAATAATTTTTCTATATTACTGTCTTTTTAGCAAAATTTGATTTATTTTTCAATATAGTCTTCTTTTAAAAAGTCTGCACTGATTTTTTTTCTCGAACTGTCCATGTACATAATGTATGATTAATCGGCATTTTACAAATTAATTTAAATTGACACTTCAAAACTGTCATTATAACTATTAGGTAATAATAGGATTCGAAACTGGTTTTGTTCCACCAAATATCAATTATACATCGCCAAGGAAAGATATAGATGCCTTATTAAATGGGAGCGTTCGTGTCATCCAAGAACAAATGCCACTCAAAAACGGTTATGTAGCAATTA